AGCTCCAAATATGACCTAATTACCGAACAGTGTTCCAGTTTGGATTGCACCGACATCTCTTTTCTAAGTTTGGCCATCTCTTTGTCCTTTTAATTTCAGTTCTTAAATTCATCAATAAATCTTTTTATTTATTAGATACGTTATTATAAAACATTCTTTAGTTAAGGAGTTATTGATACTTCGAGTGCAAAATGATGAAATAAAATCTTGATAAAAATACACTTTTAAGTACTAATCAAAGGGCTCTGAGAAAAATATTGCAAGTATAGACACGTTGTGGATTCAAATGGTGCCTTACAATTCCTTTCTTTTGTGTTTTTTTTTAATCTTTGATCATTTTTGTCTTCAATTACTAATTTTATTTTGACATTAAATCTAAATCTTGTGTTTTGATTGATTTGAATTATATTATACATCTAAATATCATATTGTATATCTTTTTATCAAAGATGCATGTCTTATTACAATCATGAACAAAACCTGTATTTGAGAACTAGCAAATGATACTCTAATTAAATCTAAATATTTTCTTTTAAGAAATCTTAAAATTTCTTATAAAGACCAAACAATAAAAATCAATCCTTATAAACCCCTAAATATCAATCCTTATAAACCCCTAAATGAAGATGTTATCATCAATATCAAACACATTATACAATTAAATAACTATACCAACACAAACCTCATCACCATAGAAAAACAACTGACCATAATAGAAAAATATATCCAAAAGACTTACTTTCTTTTGTTGAAACTAAAAAACCTGTTGAAAAAACTTATTTTTTCAAATTATACCAAGTCACTAAACCTAGCCAAACTCAAATTCAACATAAAAAACATTTTCTTAAAACTATCAATGACCATCTCAACGACTTTAAAGCTTTTTCTTCCATCTTAATTACTCTTGATACACTCCAATCAGTAACCACCATTAAACCTCTACAAGTTATGTAAAACATCATATAACATGACAAAAACCAAATTTCTGTTAAAAAAGAAGCCTTTCAGGAAGAAATTATTAAAATATACAAATTTTATTAGAGGAACTCTACACTTAGAATAACTCTTCTTGTAGCAGGCATATGAATCTAAAATGAACTAGACATTACTAACCAATACAAGTTCAATGTCTCTTCCCTCCATAAATGAAACATTGACGGTATGCCAAAATACAACATCCTTAATACCTCACAACAAATGATCATGGACGTCAATACTTACAAAACCCATACTAAAACCTCAAACAAAGCTATATATGAACTTTTAACTGCAAGATTTTCTAGTCAATTAAAAAGATGGTGAGATTATCATGTCATTAATGCCCAATATTTTGAGATTCTACAATGCATTCAAATATATGAAGACCAAACACCAATCCTTGACTAATCTAGTAACACTATTCAAGATGTAGTATTAAAACTAATACTAACTATTTCTCTACATTTTATAAGAGATCCATCCCATCTAAAGGATAAAAATGTTAAAATTCTTTCAAACATTAGGTGCAAAAAACTTAGTTGCTTTTAATGGTACAAAAACACCTTTCTCACTCATATTATGCCCCAAAAAGAATTTAACCAACTTTTATGGAAAGAAAAACTTCTTCGTGGATTACCTACCTATTTAGGGGAGAGAGTTAGAAACACAATCAAAGACACTTTTGACAACAAAGCTATCCTTTACGACCAACTAACATATAGTGAACTATTAGCTTCACTCAAAAAGAGGTCTTAAAATCTTTAACTCTAAAAACAATGTAAGTTGGAAATGAAACGAATCAAACAAGAGTTAGAAAATTTTTGCCAACAGTTTGACTTATCTATTAAAAAGCCAACCTATAGTGGTACTTATTCCAAGTTTCAATTAAAACCTCCTAAACCACTTTACAAATGATATGCCTATGAATATAGAAAACATTCTCATACCAAATCTGAACTCTATTACAAAATCCCTCATTAAAAATCAAGAAAAAAAATTCTTAATCCAAAACCAAATCTGACCTTAAAACCATTTGTTACAAATATAGTAATGAAGGTCATACTTATAGATTTTGTCATGTAAATACCAAACACTATGAATTTCAATTACAAAAAGAAGTTATCCATCATATCTAATCTTTTTTAATTGAAGTATCTCCAATGTCCTTATAGGAGACCAAGAATTCATCATTAAAGCCATAAAATGCCTTGATGATCCCCAAATACAAAAAATTTACTTAGATAAACTCTTAAATACTTTTGATAAACGAGAACCATTATAACTACTTCAAAGTCATTCCTTTTTACCTTTAACCAGAATTATAATATAAAATCAAAACTATCAAGACTGAACTTAACAACCTTAAACAAGCCAAGCAAATTTTTTTTGCCATATTACAACTCCTTCTTACAAAATTAAAAAATGATTTGGATTCTAATAGGGAATTAGATTCTAATCATGACATAGAATAGGACCTAGGAGATCATATATTAACAAAAAAGTAATTCATAAAAAATACTTTGGTTTTTCAAATAGATTCTATTGCCTTATTAGATACAAGAGCAAATTTAAATTGTACAAAATAAAAGTAGTTCCAAAATAATTTTTACAAGGTACTTTTAAAAAACTTTCTGCAACAAACTATACTAAATTAGAAATAAAAAATAAAACTCAAGCATCCTTTTCAAACAATGTTTTTATATCAAATTTGTTGTTATAAATGATATCAATCATATTGTTATTCTTGGCACTTTTTTTATTAACATGATCACCCCTTACAAAACTAGCCTTAAAAGCATTATTTCAAAAACCAACGATTCAAAACTTGTTTTTCCATTCATCATAAAACCAAAAACTAGAAATCTTAATTTAATCAAAGCATGTTCTATTCATACTCATAAAATAAATTCTATGATTTTTGAAATGCAAATCTAGCTTATGTATGTCAAAGAAGATGTATTTTTACAAAAAAATTTCAGATTCCAAACAAAAATAGAATCAGAAATTTATTTTGATATACAAAATGCTTTTTCAAAAAGAAAATAACTTATGGTTGATCTACCATATGATTACAATTTTAATGAAAAACAAATACATACAAAAGCCATACCTATCTAGATGAATGTTGAGCTAAAAAAGCATTGTAGACTTGCAATCTAAGATTTACAATCTAAAGAATATAAAAATCTAGATTATCTTGGTCATGTGCATTTTTTTATGTCAACAAAAATTATGACATAGAAAAAGGCACACCATAAATTGACATAAACTACAAACCTTTAAATAAAACTTTGGAATGGATTAGGTATGCAATTCCAAACAAGAAATATTTATTATAAAAGATATAGTCTGTATTTGTATTTTTAAAATTTGATATGAAATCAAGTTTTTGATAAATACAGATTCATCTAAAAGATCATTATAAAATAAAAATGCATTTACAGTTCTTTTTGGTCAATATGAATGAAAAGTAATGCCATTTGGATTGAAAAATGCTCCATCATAATTTTGAAGAATCATGAATATATTTTTAATCCAAATTCAAAATCTTGCATAGTTTATATTGATGATGTTGTCTTTTTAAACTCTTTAGAATAACATTTGAAATATTTACAAACGTTCTTTTATCTTGCAAAGAAAAATGGATTAGTTGTTTTTAAGATTTTTTCTAACAAAATCCTTGACAAAAACCTGTTGCAAAGACTTTTAGGGAGTCTTAACTATGTCCTAAACCTCTATCCAAAAATTTTCCGTCTAGCAACACCATTACATGATAGGTCAAGAAAAAATCATGTGTCATGGTGATTAATACTTAAAAGTAAGTTTTTGTCAAGGTTTTATATCATCATTTCATA